CTTCCTTCCTTCCTTCCTTCCTTCCTTCCTTCCTTCCTTCCTTCCTTTTTTTGTCAACTTGAAGTAAGCTATGGTCATCTGGAGAGGAGGAGTCTCAAATGAAGAATCTGAAGAATTGCCTGTGTTACATTAGCCTATAGGCAAGTCTGTGGAGGAATGTACACGATTACTGACCAGTGTGGGGAGGCCCAAATGTGGTGCTACTACTGAGCAGGTGGGCCTGGACTGTATGAGAGCAAACTGAGCAAGCCAGTAAACAGCTCTTCTCCACCTTCTGCTTCAGCTCTGCTTCCAGGTTCCTGTTTTGTCTGAGTTCTTGCCCTGACTTCTCTTCCTGATAGACTGGGTGACTGTGAGATGAAATATAATTCCTTTCCTCCCCAAGTTCCTTTTGGTCATGGTGCTTTTCATAGCACTAGACAATAACTACTAGATATGTTGACAGTGAACAGAAAGAAACCCCAACACATTAACATATTTTCTCCTGATTCACATAAATTTTTTTACTTAATTGTGCCTCTTTTTTTTTTTTAAATGTAGGAACAGTGAGAACATTGCTTTTATAGAGTATCCTGCCACAGCAACAGGAACCCTTGAGATGAATGCGCTCCACAGTTCTCCTCTCCTTTCCAATCATTTTCTCTCATTTATTTTATGCAAGTTCTGTTGGTGACTTGTGTTCACTTGCATTTATATTCTCCTCCGGTAGTGTTTTGGGGAGGGTGACTGTAGTAGACAATATAATGACTTTAGGATAGTCCCCGTGTTCCATTGGAGTAGAAGGCACCTGTTTGTTTTCATTAACTAATAGTTTCAGAGACAGCTGTCTATCCTGAAAAGTGTGGTTTTATAGTTCTGTAGTGACAAGGGTCTCTGTATTTAAGTAACGTATTGAAGGAGTTGACATCAGAAAAGAATGACTCAAGAAAGAATGAGGAGGAGGGCGTATGGATCACAGATGAGAAACAGAGGAAAGCCTTGTTGATCAGGTGGAGAAAGAACAACCATAAAAGCCTTTTCATCCAGGATAGAAGCTAAAACACACTGTACAATTAAAGTACAAAGTGTCAAATGTTAAAAACAGTGAGACAAAATCGTAGGTATTTAATATTTCTTTGTAATTGGGATGGTATGGTTTGCCTCTTGCATTGCATTGCCTTTTGTTTTTTTCTATACAGGTGTGGCTGGAGCCTGTTTATCTCAGTAAATTCAAATAAGTTAATGTGTCTTTCTCAGGCAGAAGCATTTTCTTTGTTGGAGGTCAACTTTTTGCCAACATTTCCCAGTCTGAGATTCTCCTCAACTGCCAATTACAACCTTGACTCTGGTGTTTTGGGATTACATGTGGGACCATCTACAACTGGGGCCTTGAGGGAGCATGGAAGACTTGCTTGCCTGTGTTTACTTGTGGCTGGGAGGTTTCTTCCTGAAGTGCCCCTCAGAAGACTACCATAGTTTCTGCAGTACAGTTTCCACAGTCCCTTCTGCCTTTCCCAGCACTTGTCTCCTGGGTGCCCAGTTAGAACCTCAGCTTCAGAATTCTGGTCCTGTCTTCTGCTTCTCTTTTCTACAATCTGCTAGGCTCTGGCTGACTGATTCCAAAATCTCTGCCATTTTGGCAGTCTTATCTCTGCTTGCTCTCCTAGCACTCAGCTGGCCCTTCCTATCGCTTCTGCTTTAATGCCAGCTGGACCTGTTGCTGCTCCTGACACTGCCATGGTATCAGAAGCATATGGTAAAAGCTGCTTACCATACGGTGGGCGGGAAGTGCAGAGTGACAGAGCATGCCTGTGCCAGTGGGCTTCCTCTTTCTTTCTTCATCTGTGCCTCTGTCTGCTGTATGGTGTTGGCCACACTCAGGGCAGTCTTGCACTTTTAGTGACATGTCCCTGGAATGTTCTCACAGACACCTCCTGAGATCTGGTTCACCAACCTCACAGTGTTGCCTAATTCAGCTAAGTCGAAAGGATGAATTATTACATACCATAAAACTAATATAGAATCTGACTTAAAGAGAAGATTCAGCTTACATCATTGATGCAAGATTTGTAATGAAAAATCCTAGGTTGTTGTGTAAATTTTATATATCAATTTTTAGTCTTTTGAGAAAGTAAGTGCATTTCTCAAAACAGTTCTTAGCCATTTATAGCCATTTATAGCCATTATAAAATCCAGTTTTACCAATCATCAGTACCCTGTGTGAGATCCTTCTCAGTCTTCTAAATATTCAATGCTGTTAGATTTTATACCTCCTGCTGTATATTGATCCAATCTCCTCATTTTCTGAAAACCATGAAAAGAGCCTACAGACTTAGCTCTATGGAGTGAATAGTTTGACTTTAATAAGGGACAATAATAATACTAACCCCAATGGTGATTTCTGTGGGTGACACACGAGGTGGGGGGTTTTGTTGTTAAAAAAGATCTAATTGTTCACATTATCCACTAAGAACTATCTGCGTCTGAGTCAGGTCCTGACCAGTGTTTTGATTACATAAAATCTTGCCTCAGAAAGTAAGAGAGCCAACCTTTAGTTTTAGATGACTGAAGAACTCTGCAAAATTGAAAGTGAAGCATTTGATTTTATTATAGTTACTTACGTGATATTTATTTAAATTTGTTTCCATTATACTATACTTATATGAAGAATTTATGTTAACATGACTATTTTAAGTTTAATATATACAGTATTTATTTAGTAATATTAGTTTATGAGACATTGACTGTATCGCCCCCTCCACTTCCTTTTATCTACTCCTTTAGGCATAAATAAATTAATTTATAAGGTTTTAAAAATTCATTTATAAAATCCCACATTTTATTTAACAATATGGCTTTACTTCAATTTATTTTTAAACATAAACTAATAAAACAAGTAAAATAAAAATTACTTTTAGTTAATAGTACCATATTTACCATGGTACTTTAAAGTAAAAATATGTTGTAAAATTTGTGACTAAAACATTGCTGTGAGGCTCTGTAGAGTTTTAGTAGAAGGACAGTTTATCATGGGCTCAGAGGCTGAGGGTATAGCTCGAGAGTCCTGGGGCTGCACCATGTGCCTGTGCTAAGTCCCAGCATGGCCTGTGCTAAATCCCAGCATAGCACTATAAACAGATCAAAGCAGAAAAACCCTAATGAACCAACTTATCGCTTTTCTTCCTCTTTTGTATAAAATTGACTGAGATGCTCAATTCTTTATGGCGTAGCACTAAATTTTTCTGTGTAATAACCCTAATTTTCATATCCTTTATATATAACTACAAATGTATAGGTAGAAATTGCTGCTTTAGTACAGTGCACTCAGTTGTGCAAACTTATTTTTTTAGGATCAAAGAAGAACACAAACCACAACCGACACAGTAAGTAAACGTATTCTGAGTGCAGTACACTTGACTCCTGTTCTGCTGTATTCTGCTCTCTGCACCTTTGATGGTATTAGCTTACACTAATACTGGATAGGCTGCAGCTAGTGTGTCTTCTGCTTTCTGACTCTCTGGCTTGTAAGAGAGCTGCCTGCAGCTTCTTACTTCATCCACATAGTGACTGGATGTAGTTTTTTGCTGCCTGCTTGTGGACTAGTTGAGTGTTCAATTAATTTCCCTACTTTCTGATTGCCTGGTGATAATTGGAGCTCACATTTCCATTGGCTGTAGCTTTTGTGCCTGTGGTTTCTTTTTTCTTTTTTTCTTTTGTTATTATTTTGGGTAAAAAAATTGAATCTACATTGTTATTCTTTTGTTCTTTTCAGTCATATTATTTGCTTATTTAAACAGGTGGTTTCCCTTTAGTGGGATCACTGAACTGGTAAATAACGTTCTTCAGCCCCAGCAAAAACAACACAATGAAAAGGAGCCCCAGACGTAAGTAAGCGGTCTGCATAGACTAATAGTATCTATGGTACATAGAACACTGAAGAGTGGGAATTAAAACCCTGCCCCGGGAGTGCTGTGCCTCAGTACTTCTGCCATTAGTCATTCCATGGACATCTAAACAGAAAACAGGGATAATTTAGAGATCATGGAAAAGAAAAGGCAACCCTCCACACTTAACATGAATATGTAAGCCATATTTGCCCAGAAACATATATTTCTCCAATAATGTAGTATATTCTAGAATATCTCCAACAAAAATGCTAGAGGATAGTAAGAAGCATTAACTCTTACATTTGTTGTGTGGTCAAATAATTTTGGATAAGTTGTTTTAAGAAAGATTAAGCAGATTCATTCATTGCAATTATGAGAACCTAGCTGTGATTAGATCATAACACAGTTTACTAAACTTATTTTAACATCAAATCATGCTTTGTAGAATACATTTTTAGATTATAAAACATGATTGGGGGATATAGTAATGTATTCTCACAATGACTTGAAACACTAAAATCTTTTAGATTCCATTTCCTTTAACTGTTAAGAGGTAAAAATTCTTCACAGATTATACTTATTCTTAATTGCATAAATAAAAGTGAAATAAGTCATTCGAGCTTACAACCTATTGATCTAAACATATTACAAAATCTTAGCTATGCAAGGGAGTCTTAAATGTCTTACCACACCGTGGGAAGAGAGGAAGAAACATGTACATAATGACCAATGGTAACATCTACTATAACTAGTTCACATTTGATTTTTATTTTTTTCTGATGGAAATTTGCCAAGTGAATAGCTATTGCAATAAGGATAACTCTAATATTATTAGAGTGTCTATTTCAATACTTTCCTACAAAAATGCTGTAATGGCTGGTAATGGCTGGTATTAATATTTGTTTAAGGCTAAAGGTTAGGGATAATATTATAATGAAAACTTACACCAAGAAGTATATTCAGAAAGGACACTTGCTATTTACAGTCTTCTTTAGTGTTGGATAGAAACTTTTTACCTTATTTTTTCATTTGTTTTAATCAAGAGTCATTGATTATTTTTTTCCCTAAAGATTACATACTTTAGGGGGATTTTAAAGATTTCCCTAAAATGATTTTCAATAGCCCAGAAAAAAAGAAGACTGTCTTTTTAGTTATCAAATATGAATCCAAGGAACAATATTTGGGAACTTTTATCAAAGGGCTAATTGTTAATCAAGCACCCCTCTCCTGCCTTTCCTCCCTCTCTGCCTCCCTCCCTTCTTCCCCTTCTCTCTCCCTCTAACTCTCCCTCTCTCCTCCTTCTCCCACTTTCTTCCCTTTACCACCTCCACCCCATTTCTTTTTCTTTCAAAGACTAAATGTTTTGATTTCAGGTCACAGAGAGTCAGTCCCTCATTGCTTGTATCTGCTGAAGAGTAGACAGGGTGTCACAGTGCCTTCCTCTTGTGCTTGCTTACTCAGCGTGTAATAGAGCAGAATCTAGGATTAGACATGAAAATCTGAAACAGCAGAGTAGCTTCTTATTAATTCAGATGAGGAGATATGGTCCTTCAGAGATCATATGTCCTTCAGATCACATAGTTTGAAGGCTAATGCCAGTGAAAATTGAAGACTTAGAAAATAGCATTAATTTTGGCTGGGTATGGTGGTGCACATCTTTAATCACAGCAGTGAGGAGGCAGATGCAGGTGGGTGTCTGAGTTTGAGGCCAGCCTGGTCTACAAGCAAGTTCCAGGAAGCCAACGCTACATAATAGAGACATCCTCTATTATGTAAATAAATTGTTACTTTTACATTTCCTTTGTTATTTCTATTTTTTCTGAAGACTGATGACAGTATTGAGAAGTGATCTTCCATTTGAGTCTGAGCTTACTGATGCTTGACTGGTAAGGTGAAGCAGTTGATACACAGTTGTGAAATGGTGCAAGCAGTTATTGCACATAGATATTTACAGGTCCAACATAGTTTTCATTCTGAATAATGTAAAATTGACTGCATCTGCTGTGTACTTCAGAGCCATCTGAGATTCTCTGGGGCTCCGTATAGGAATAAATAAGAACCACAAGAAATATGTTGTTTATCCAGAAAATGCTGTTTCTGTCATGGTACATGCCTATAATCCCAGCACTCAGGAGATTGCAGTAGGATGGTGTAGCATAGATCATAGCAAGATTTTCTCTCAATATAGGTAAAGGTACGAAAGTGTTAATTGCTATTTTTGTGCAAAGAATACATTCAGTGAGAGATGCATCAACTGGAAGTGTGCAGCTCATTGACTTGTTACAGACAGGGAGCGCATCTGGGAATGAGCATCACGGTTAAGACGCTGGCTACTACCAGCCACCTCCTGCCTCCTACTCCTTCAGGAACACTGCCTCCCATCCTTGAGGTGGAGATAACTGTATCCTGACCTCTATAGAGCCACTGTTTTCTACATAGCATCATTACTTTTGTATATTTTTATGTAGGCTACAGAAATCCACCATATGATATAGAGTCTATTATATGTGTCTTATTTTTCACAAGATATTTGTGAGATATATCAATATGATTTCAAGTAGCTGTATCTTACTTATTCCTTTTACTGTATAATACTTTGGTATCTTAGTAGGTTTTATTCATCTATTTTAGTATGAAATATTTTGTCTTATTTCTAGTCTTTTGGCTATTATTAATAGTGTTGCTTTATGCATCCTAAAGACATTATTATTTTTTTCAGTTATTCTGAAGGATCATTTTACAAGTGACTACTTTATCAAATTAAAGATATTTTCAAACATTAAAGTTGCTTACTATGTCAGGGTGTTTATCTTCATTTCCTCACTGATTTATTTGATAATGCCACATGTGCCAATTGCTGAACGTACCTTAACACTTGAGGCGTTGGTGACTGCATCTGATCTAGAAGGGGGAAAGGGATTGAAAGCACAGAAGCGCTACAGAGGAGTGAGTGATTTCTATTGTGTCACTACCCTCTACTTTGTGAAATGATTCCTGCTTTATAGTTTATCACTGCTCCAGAGGCAGTGGGGTCTGGGAAAATGGAGGCAAGAGTGAGGTGGACTAAGGTCTCAGGAAATAGTCAACTTTCTTCAGAGCATTAGACAGTTTATTCTCATAGGGCTAAGAGAAATCACATGAGTAAAGTTTACAATCACAAGGACAAGTTGCATGTGACAAAAACATGGTTTTCCATAGAGGCATATAAACAAGTAACAGTTAGCCAGTTGTAGGAATAATGTGAAGTAAACTCACTCCTATCCCCTACACCTGGGAGGTCATGAAAGCACATCCCATGAGCAATTCTGTGTTATGAAAAAAATTAGGTCATAAGACTCTTGCTTTCTTGTTTTCTCACAAGCACTCAGAATTCTCCTTAAACGTCTTCATTCTTGGACCATGTTTTGACAGTAGTTAACTATGTCAACCATGATTAAGTATAATTAAATCATACAAATCTCTAGAAATGTAAACAGTATCATCAGAGCTTTATTTCTTTTTTAAACACATAGTGTTTTGTCTAGGTGACTGGGCATAAAAAACATTTTATTCTCCAAATGTGAGCTAAACAAGGACAACGTTAGTGGACATCCCACGGTGGATGGGAAATGCCCATGAAGCCTCAACCCTACACAAAGAACTGTAGACAACTAAGGAAAGCTGAGTGGGATAGGTGGTCTTCCTAAGAGAAGAATACACCAGTGGTTTCTCAGTGCCAAATGGTCAGCCCTGAAAACATGCATACAAGTCATGTATGGGCTAAAGACATTACATTTAGGACTATATATGTACACACACACACACACACACACACACACACACACACACACACATATATATATGCGCAATGACAATTAATGAAAAAAAGGCCATGAATTTGAAGGCAGGGAATGGTGTATGGGAGGACTTGGAGGTGGGGAAACAGAAGGAAGGAATGTACTTAATATTATTTTAAAAAAAAACAAAATGATAAAAACCACACAAAGCAAGCACATGTTTGTGCTTGTGTGCATACATGCACACTCAAATGTACATGCACACACAGAAAACCAAAAATAAAAAAACCCATGGAATTCATTTTGTGATTGTTAGCTGCTCCTTAGCATGGGACCAGCACTGAAATTTGGTTGATTTACCCAGTGTCATTCCATTGAAAATAACCCCTCTTTTCCCTCTCTCAGCAGCTATTAATTGCAATAGTTTCTTGGCTAACAATGGGACTTTATGCCCACTTCCTTTCTCTGTGCTGGCGTTTTTTCCTGACTTGCACTTATGCAGTTCTTGTGCATGCTGTTACAGTCTCTGGGTTCATATGTGCATCAACCCAGTTGTGTTTGAAAACATTGTTCTCTTGATGTTGTCCATTACCTCTGGTTCTTGCAGTCTTTGGGTTCCCCTATTCTGCATAGATCTTTGAGCCTTGAGGGAAGGGATGTGATAAAGACACCCCACTTAGGGCTAATAGTTCAAAAGTTTTTCATTCTCTTCATATTGCCTAGCTGTGGGTGTCTATGTTAATTATCGTTTTAGCAAGAAGCTTCTTTGATGAGGGTCAAGTGATGTACCGATCAGTGATCAGTGGGTAAGCAACATGTCATTAGGGGTTGTTTTATTGTTATGGCTATTGGGGCCCTTGATCTATTTGGTCTCAGATTGTTTGCCACGTTAGCAGTTCAAGGTGTGGGTTCTATGTCATGCAGTAGGCCTGAAGTCAATAAGAAAGGGGCCTTGGGTACTCCTACAACATCTGTGTCACTATTGCATCAGTGGCCGTCTCTTACACACAGGTTCTGTTTTGACTCACAGTGTTCATAGCTGGGTAAAACTGATGCTTATTTTTCTCCTCTCATAGCATATGGGTACCTCCTAGCATTATGAACTTCAGTAGGAGTGAAGTGTCCACTTGATCACCAGCTCAATTTCTCTTTAATGACATAAGTGTGTGACATTTTTACCAGAAGGTCTTAGCATCATTAGGTCATGGAGGGTAACCAATA